AGGTATGGTTTTTAGGTTGAAAAAATTCGAAATAAATTCAGTGTGATTCTGTTGCGATTATTTTAGAGGTACTCTCCCACAATAACGTATGGACAGGGATAATACTGTAAAGAATATAATCAAGTAGCAAACTTGGGAACTAGCTACCTACAGTATACCTACAGTAGAAGTACAGTACGCCGCTAACGTGAAGAGTGCCTATAAAAGTTGCATTCAGCAATTAAAGCTAGTGTGCGCGTAAAAGCGCGTTGTCATGCATGTCATTGAAGTAGACTGAGATTTGCACTTTCTGTTAGCCTTCTTCCTTCAAATCAATGAATTTAGAGTCAAGCGCATCAGCCTCTGTTATTCTTGCCATGCTATCCTTCTTTCTACCTTCTCACCTCGAGATCTATAGCGAGGTGGATAGCGCTCTGCAGGGCTTGGAGGACTGCTTCTTCCATGAAGGCTTGAATACCGCGGCGATGGCGTCCTTGAGCGTTGAGATGGTAACAATTGTTCCGTCTAAAAGTAAATTCCTTCGACTATTTAAGAATGCGCTGCCATAATTTGCTGTGGAGGAGAAAATCACAGACCATAACGCATGGCATCAAAATGTAAAGAATGCACTTCAAAATATGTGATTTTCACCTCATCTCATGCGATTCCATCGAAATTGAATAAAAACCAGCAAAAATTCCAGATTTCAGATAAAAATTTTTTTGGAAAACTCAATAAAACATAGTCTTCAGTAATTCAAAATAGAACAAAAGCATGCATAGAAAGCGAAAGAATGAAAGGGGATGAAAGCATGCGTGCTAAACAGCTACCACAATGTGGTTAAAGGCGTACCTCATCGTACTGTGACGATCTCTCACGATAGTAGTTGAAACGTGGTGCATACTGCTAGAAACGAAACCGGATAGTGTGCACCCGTGTGAATCTCGTGGTTTGTTATCTCATATGTTCTTTTTTTTTCAAAAATGATCTACACATCTTCATCAACTACTAGTTTTAATTCGAACTACGTGTTGTGAAACGTAACTTAAAACTCAAAATCGAGTAACACGTTTAAAAGATATACAGACAGAAAATGAAGCAAAGTTAGATACGTGCATGAAAACTTATTGAACAATTGTTATAACTTCAAATGCTACTGTAGAAACGTACCTGAGGGGGATCGTGTGCGACAGCACCAGCACCACGACGTATTCGTGAGAACATATCAGAGATACGACGACCAGCAGTAACTGCTTTCGGCCTTAAATATTGCCATGGATTTTACAGAAGGGCAAAACTCTCATTATTTAGTTCATAATTGGATCCACATTGGAAATAGCTGTTTTGGCTTTGAGTCGTAAATTTCGAGAAGAAAATTAACAATTGTGACAAAACTTCAGCGACATGTGATGGTTCTTAGCTGCGCGCGCAGCTCTATCCGAAGGATAAAGGTAAAGGTTGCTAGTAGGTAATCCAAGAAGGAACGACAGTCATCTCAACTTAGTTTGAAGAGGAATCCAATAGAACGTCAGAGTAGCTTTTGTTCTCGACTGGAAAAATTCAACAAGCAATGAGAGCTACACTTACACTTCTTGTGGAGGCGAATATCGCGTTGGAGTTTCATCGCCTTCGTCACTGCTCTTAGTCGACTTCGGCGCATCTTCGAGAGGGGTGTACAATGAGTACGGTCGCTGTAAATAATTTTTAAAGATGGTGAGAGCAATCGAAAAGTGATGGCTTTACCTGTGCTGTAGTGCAATTGGCATGTGGAGTGTG